CCCCTCCCCCCCCTCCCCCCTCCCAAACACGCGCGCTCCTCTCCTCTCCATCCAGCCTCCCAGTGGTTGGAGGACAGGACGGAGAAGATGGCACCTCGAAGCCGCGCAGAGCCACTCCGCCCGGCCTGTCGTCCCTCCGGAAGTGGGCCGCTTTCCTCTGAGATGGCTGCGTCCGGACCGCTGGCCGCCTGACGGACACCGAAGAAGAAGAGGTCTGAGCTGAAAACTGTGGGTCCTCGTGCGGCACCCCCCCCCCCCCTCACACACACACACACACACACACACACTCTGTCATCTTTCTCAGCCCTGAACATCTGCACTCCTCGCCGGCTGCCGGCTGTGCTGCTCTCCGTGGAGAAATAAAAGAGAGAGAAGGCTCAGAACCAGAACCGCCGCTGCTTTTGGGCCAGAGGCGTTTTTTTCTAAGAGCCGAATTCACACGGACTTTCAGAACACTGGGAGGACACGAAACACTGCTGGCTTCATTCAAAGGGACAGCGGAGGAATATGAGGTAAGCACAGACATTATTTCCCCCTTGTTGTAAGTTTTACGTGGCTTGAGGATAAACTGATTGAGTCATTGGCGCAGCCTGGTTTAAGAGGCCTTGTGGCGTTCACGTCCCGGCTCCACGGTGGGCGCGTCGGAGCCGGGGACCCACGGGAACACCGCCCCCACCGGCCCGCGCGTGCTCAGGGCCGTGCACAACCGGGGGGCAACTGTTAACATGACGCCAACAAAATAACCCCGGCTCCAGCTTGCTTTGTCACGTGGAGGATGTCCGCAGGGCTAACAAAAAAAAAGGAGTTGTCATAGAAACCAGACAACACACCTAGAGCCGTAAAGCTGTCATCCAGGAGCCTTATTATCAGCGACACACGCTCTCGGGTTTATTGAAACGCAAAGCAATCAATGACGTTTCCGCCTCTTGAAAATGAGCGTGCGCATCGATGACATGAAACGTGCACGCGCACACACCTCCCTGCCCGACAGCCAATGGGCTCCGGGTGCTCGGCGGAGCGCGCGGGCGCAGCTGTCCCCGGGATGCAAACACTGGCTCCACTGGCTGAGGAGGCGCAGCCTATCGGGGGGAGCCTTACTGGCTGTCACCTCAACCAGCCAATCAGCGCGCAGGCTGCTGTGGCACAGATGTGGGTGAGGCTCCAGCTGCTGTCATGGGTTCCCCTAGAACAGGAGGGCTGCTTTAACACACAAATACCAGTGCTTTTCATTCTTCTAGATACAAAAATATGAAGCTTTAGTGTTTGTGTGTGTGTTAAAGTTAGTAGGGGTTTTCTCCACTAATGATTCCCAAACAAATCCTGGGCTTCATCTCTCAAATCCTATAAAATATGAA